AATTTAAATTAGTTAATAAAACTGGGTCGTTCAGAGCGAACTCGTTCTGAAGATTGAAACGCGTTCGCTAATTGTACCCGATTCTCGTTGACTGCCTTGTTTTAAGAACAAAATGTCCAATTTTAAACTGTTGTCTGTTTCTTGGGCGCATCAATCTTTGTTCGTTTGCTCGGTGGCGCTTTTTTGTCGCTGTACTCTTTTTCACCTTTCGCCGCGAAGGTGACCATGAAACGGAACCTCGCTCCCAGCCTCTATCGGAATTAGTATCGTTCTCCGAGGGAGGTGAAAAAACGCCGCGCGCCAAGTGGCAATTAGACTATAAACGTTGCAACGAACAAACCGGACCCCTACACATGAAAAACAGCGATCAAGCAATGGCCGGCTGGACTGGTGCTAAAAACGGAGATCCATACGAGAAATCCGAAGCTTGGAACGTATCAAGTAAGAATGCAAGAAGCGAAATTGCTAGAAGATGAATAGCTCAAGAAATATTCCAAGTCGATGAGAGAGAGGGTTGATTGCGTATTCTGAACACATCCGTTCACACCATCAAAGAGTGGAAGATCAAGACATTGGTAAATGGCCGCCTATTATTGAAAATGCAAGAAAAACAGAAGCAAAGCAACGTAGTGATCATTTCCAAATGGAGGAAAACATAGGAAAAGGATACTGATGTTCTGTCTGGTAATTACTTTGCTGTTGCGCCACTCATGCTTGTCTGCGATAAGAAAAGTTGCCATAAAACAGCTGGCTATGGAATACAGTGTAAAAACCGCAAAACGAATTGGAAGAAGTTTGTGTGGAGGTGAAGGGGCTAATATAGGTATAGGTTTGGAGGACTATTCGCCCTACGCTGAAGCGCTCTGCGATACCCACCTTGTCTTTGAAACTCAGGACCGGCCCAGCCCAACCCAAGCATGCCTTCAATCAAGGAACAATTGCCTTGAATTACGTCACGAACTCGTTAGACCTTTTTGAAGGATCGAATACAATGTGCGTCATTGATTTCGACGTCGGCTATTCTGAATGCCAATCTATGGTGTAATTCGTGCGCTGAAGCAGGTCCTGGGCGGGCGCACCACGGCCTATAAAAGCCGTTGAGAGGCGGTCGCAGACAACGGCCATGGACCTCGAAACGAGGGTTAAAGCCTACCGCTTCGTCGCCTATTCGGCTGTCACATTCTCCGTCGTCGCTGTGCTTTCAGTATGTGTTACCTTACCTATGGTCTACAACTACGTGCATCATGTAAAGAGAACTATGCACAATGAAATCAACTTCTGTAAAGTGAGTGTTTGCTTTTTCTTTCGTTAATTCTTTTCCTTACCAATTATGATTTTTGGTAGTCCATAATTGCAGGGCTCGGCGAAGGATATCTGGACGGAGGTGCATAACTTAAAGAGCCTTCCTTCACCCAACAATCGTACGGCTCGTCAAGCCGGATATGGAGATGCCGCTGTAACTGGTGGAGCTCAGCAAGGAGGATCTTGCGAGGCTTGCTGCCTTCCAGGACCACCTGGACCAGCAGGTACTCCTGGTAAGCCGGGTAGGCCCGGCAAACCCGGTGCTCCAGGTCTACCTGGAAATCCTGGACGACCACCGCAACAGCCATGCGAACCAATTACTCCTCCACCGTGCAAGCCTTGTCCTCAAGGACCACCGGGACCACCAGGTCCTCCAGGACTACCAGGAGATGCTGGACCACCAGGGCAACCCGGACTTCCTGGTCAAGATGCGCCGCCAGGAGAACCTGGACCCAAAGGTCCACCTGGACCTAACGGAAATCCTGGACCACCTGGAGCACCTGGAGAACCCGGAATACCTGCGCAATCAGAACCACTCGTTCCCGGAGAGCCTGGACCACCAGGAGAGCCAGGCCCACAAGGCCCTCCTGGTCCACCTGGGCAGCCTGGAAGTGACGGAGCACCTGGTCAACCAGGACCCAAAGGTCCCAACGGTCCTGATGGTCAACCAGGAGCAGATGGAAACCCAGGGGCACCCGGACCTGCAGGACCTCCTGGGCAACCAGGTGAACGCGGTATCTGTCCGAAATACTGTGCGATCGACGGAGGAGTCTTCTTCGAAGATGGAACGCGGCGCTAACCTTCTCATCCATTTGGAACGAACTCGATCTTGTAATTGTTTTAATGAAGGATTTCTTGCTATTGCTCTGTGTACTAAGCATCTCAGGTGGAATGTATTAGTGACATACAGCTCGATCATGCTGTATGCTGCCGTATTCAGAAACCAAAAGCATTGTTTCGAAAGCTTGAAAGGTCAAAGTGGGATATAGGTGCATATTTTTGTTTAAAATAAGTCGACGATAAATGGTTATAGAGTTTGCAGAGCCGAGAAAAGTACACAAACTAACTGGTTATTATTTTCCTTATGTATTAGGCGTTGAGGAATCCCGTTGTAGCCAAAGTAACGCTGCGCAAAACAGCCGACCCCACACGCACCAGCCTAGTATTACATTATTTCTTTGGTCTTCAAAATCCGTGATGAGCGCCTGGCTAAAAAGGCGAACGCAATAAATTGATTAGTCAAGGTAGAAGTGGCACTCTCCTGGGAGAAAAGACTATGACAAATATTTGATAAATGGCATGGGATGGCCTTTTATATTGCCTCCCAACCAGGTCGGTGAATATCGCGGTCGAGGATATCTCGACAGCGCGGTCGTACGGTCGGGCTGGGTCATGGGGGGTCGTACTCTTGAGGGTCAGTAAACAGCAGCGTATATCGTAGGCTGCAGTAGGTAAGAGGGTATAGCGCAGCTTTGAAAAACAAATATCTTAAAAAAAAACATGTATGAATTTTCTTTGCAGGGATCAGTCGGCTCCATCCTCCACCTTCATGAGAAAGGGGGTTCGTATTTGAAGGCGGGACGTACAAAGGAATTGAAAGTGATCGCCCGCAAGAGAGAGACGGCCCAACATGCGGTGCGCACGCGCTGCAAAGGCACCTCCCTGTGCCTACTCGCTCGCTCCTTCTACTCTAACATGCTTCGCTGTGAGAATGACACTGTTTAGGGACCCTGTCGCACAACGAAACCGTGAGAAAGCCCTGGGCAATGAAGTTTCTTAGGTGTAAGAGTTACGAAATGCGTTTTACATGCAATGACAGCTCGCTGTCAAACTGCTGTCATGTTCATATGACACCTTGTTTCGAATCGAATTCTGCCATTCGACGGTGTTCGGAGAGGCATGGCACACAATTCGTAATCGTTATGATAACGATTTGCTCCCGATTCTCTTGATATGTTTCTAGACACGGATTCCTGAGTGTGTTCTGGTGTCAAAGTAGTCAACACTTGCAATGGTGAAGGAGGAGCGGATTTGCCAGGCTTCGGGTGATCCGACGCCTCGATAGATCCTCGACGCCAATTAAACTTCAACAAACTTGTAAGAAGAAAACTAAACACATCATGAAGCGCAACTTCCGCTTTGCCAAAATACCTTCTTTTGTAAGGTGAATCTTACAATATTGAGAGACGATATTAGCTCTTAGTGAAGTGCAAAAAAACTCGCGTGAAATTTCGTCGACCTCGACATTTACTCGACGAATGTTGGAGAGAATTCCTATCTTGGCTGGCATGGTGACTTTCGGAGCAATTTTATACTTCTTGAAACGCGAAATCCAGCTCTATTCTAACCCCTCTCAAACTGCCTGCAAAAGTTATGAAATGGAAGAATGCAAGCCTTTCATCGAGGTCTGTAGAATTCGACGTATTTTTCGGATGCAAGCAAACTGACCAAGTACAAAGCGCGCCGCCTGCGCGCGTGAATCGGCCGTTAACTCTGAAACATCGGCTGTTCGATGGACGTGCAAACAGCGTAATTAGTAATTCAAATTGTAACCCCGTGTCCTTCAAGATTTTCGGTGGCATTTTCTGACACGAACGTTAACTTGAATTGTCACACAAAGTAATGCCTCCTTCATCGAGTCGACTACTATTCAGTAACATCACAACAGTGTTACAGCGTATGCAAAAGACAGTGCATGAATGTGCCCTCAAGATTGAGCGCTCTGGCTTGTTGCATTGCTTTTTAGTTGCAGATTTTTTTTTGATTTATTTTCAGGATTTATTTTGATTGTGTAGGTCGAATGATTTTGCTCTGTTTGGGGGGGGGATTCGTGCCATGCAAGTATCTCGATTCGGAGTGGGGGTGGGGCGGGGGTCGTCTACTGCGACCACAGTACTCGACACGATTTTCACCCTGGCTCCCATCTGTAGTGCTCGCGATATACTCTCGCGCGGGAACCAAAACAAAATAACTCTTGGCCGTAGAATTCGAAGAGGAGGAAGGGAGAGCGCAGATGCATGGGACCATATCGATTTGAATATATGAAACTGAAGGTATTTGGTTGTTGTTGGTTAAGGTTTTGAGGCCACAAACTATAGTCACGCAATGCTGGTCAGAGTCCAGGGCAGGTCCTGACGGAAGACCATTGTACCCCTTTGTCTCTTAAGTGGTGCTCTACCGTGCCGCCCTGTTTTGCGCCTCTTAGTTTTTTTGCATTGCGTTTTTTTGGCAGCTTTCTTCACGATGAAAAACGCCCCAAGCACCCACGGCAAAATACAAAAAATCTAACGGAGTTTTGAATGGTTTGAATTCGTAAATAAGGCGTCACCGGATGAAACTGGTTATAGGATATTTGGCAGAGCGAGAAAGTACCTACAAACTAAACTGGTTATAAGTTTCCTTTATGTATTATTTGGTCGTTGAAGTCAAAAATCCACTGCTAAAGCTTTCAGCTCGCGGTCATTGCCGATACGGGCTACCGGGATTGTTTCTGATACCCGGTTAGGCTCGTTGCTGGGTTGTCTTTTGCTGGGGCTAGGATGTGAAAGCTATGCCGTACGTTGTAGCCATGGAAAAGCGGATTTGGATGAAATGGTTGTGCCCGTGTAGACGTAGACTGGTGATGGGCACGTGCCCGCTACGAAAGCGACGAGGGCTGCGGTTCTTGAAGGCCCGCTGGGCGAATGTTTGATTTTTGATTCACAAACCAGCATTTTTGTCTAACGGTGTTGGTGATTCATTGGGGTGAGGGTAATCTGGAAAAATGGCTGCCAGTTGGTTCCACTTGATGTGAGAATCACAAATAAACAGCTTGTAAAGAAGAGTTACGTGTCGTCCTAGACAGGATATGAGGTTCTTCTGGCGAACCTTGTTCTTCCCCTGTAGAGTAAAAATAATCTTCCTCGTACGTCTTGGCTGCATCAAAGAGACTAATCTTGAATCTATGATGGCTTATGAACATCGCATTCTTCAGCTTTACCATTCAAAATATTGACAGACAGTGAGGAATTTCGAATTTTTTTCTAGCAAGTTCTCGTGAGAATAAGAACAAATGCACCCACTAATTGGGGCGATCACTCTGAATAATCATCTATCGCTCAACGATGCACAGATTTTTTGAATCTGCAGGAAGTGTTTCATGGAGCAGGAGAGACCGCAACGGAGCTCTTTGGCTTGCAGGACGGATGTGGAAAGGGCTCGATTTCATTTTGCCCCTCCCTAAACTTATCTTACGTCTTTTTGCAGCACGGGTGGTCTATTCTGCAACAGTCCGATCTTTCCTGTAATGATATCTAATTAACGACAAGGCGAGTAACTAATGCCAAGCGAGGCGTTGGGGAAAACTTTAAGATACGACCCCCCCCTACAGTAGTGGAGGTTGTCATGAATAATTTCTCTATTCACATACTGCCTGTGAAGCAGGGTAAAAATCGTGTCGAGGACGTGGTAACATCAGTACGACCCCCCTCATATGGGGTCATGATACGACCCTTCTAACTTAGATTCGAAGCGAATAAGCGATGCATCAATCAATGTACAGCAAAGCATTCAGTTGCAGCGGGTCAGATTTGCCGAGACCCCGCTCAAAACCGTCGAAATCTACACTCTCGTAAAAAGGTTCCATTCCCAAATTTTATAATCTTTGGAGCATTATGTGGTAGGGTTAGAAAGGGCTGAATTTATTTCTACCGGGCAATATTGAAATTGATCTTAAAGCTTTACACTCGAAGAGATAGGGTCTCTCAATTTTTGTCGAGGCAGCGTCAAGGACGCTGAATTTTTCATGCAAGTTTTTGTCTCATAAGGCAATATCTCTCTAATTTCGTAAGGGCTTGAAAAAAGGAAGACAGTTATGAAAAGCGTAAGGTTTGCATATTCCAACATTCTGTTCAGATTTCTTCTAAATTTTCTAGTTGAGGAGATATTTGCGTCGAGGTCTATCTAGGACGGATCTCGGTCACCTAAAAAGCCGCTCCCTTCTTCGCCATTGCAAGTTAAGTTCTTTGGAAACTCTCGAAAGGTGTCCAGAATAAACCCTCCCAACGTAACCGACAACAAAAGGTGCAATCGTTCGTCCGATCTCGTATCAGTATAGGCCATGCTTCCGACCTCCCTCTAGTTGTTGAATCCATTGAGAGGTGTTACACATATGATGGTGATCTGTTGACAGAAACTGTATTATAGCAGAACCATCCGTAACTCCTATAGCCTGAGGAACAGCTTCATTTGCCCAGGGTCTTTCTAGAGCTATTGTCGTTTTTGCGGCAGCATCCATAACAACAGTGTTATTTCCAATGAGGTTGGGATAGGGCGAGGGAGCGGGCGGTAGATAGAGGAAATGCCTTCGCAGTGCGTGTGCGCATGTGACCCTGTTCTTTGCAAAGATGCACTTTCATTCACTGTAGTGCTTTCAAATACTTCCTTCTCGAAGTTGAAGGGAAGGGGGTGGCTAAACCTGCAAAGGACATTTCAGGTCATGTTTTTTCACAGATCGTTGTTTTCCGCTGCGCTGTATCCTCTCCACGAGTACGACCCCCATGACCCACCCTGACAAAGACGACCCTCTGTCGAGAATTTCCTCGAGCGATGTGTACCCTGCTGTGAAGGGATGTGATGCTCGCAGCGCAGCCTTGGCTTTGGAGCAGCTTATCTCAGAGGAATACGTCAAAATTAAGCATGTATTCGTATATTGAGCGAACTTTCTTCATTGTAGACTAAATTTCATTCTCAAAGAGACTTGGAAGATTTCAAGTATTACTTTCTAGTATTCTTTCTTTTCTAGTATCAAACTTGAGGAAA